GGCGCTGCAGGATTTCAGTCCTTCATAGTGTAGTGTGTTACTAATTGTTTTCTTGGTGACTATGGTCCCAGCTGCCTTGAGATCATTAACAAGATCCTCCCGTGTAGTTCTGGGCTGATTCCTCACCGTTCTCATGATCATTGAAACTTCACGAAGTGAGATCTTGCATGGAGCACCAGACCAAGGGAGACTGACTGTTATTTTGTGTTTCTTCCATTTGCCAATAATCGCATCAACTGTTGTCACGTTCTCATCAAGCTTCTTGATGATGGCCTTGTAGCCAATTCCAGCATTGTGTAGGTCTACAATCTTGTCCTTGATCCTTGGACAGCTCTTTGGTCTTGTCTATAGTGGAGAGTTTGGAATCTCATTGATTGCTTCTGTGGACAGGTGTCTTTTACACATGTAATGAGCTGAGATTAGAAGCACTCCCTTTGAGGGAGTGCTTCTAATCTCAGCTCGTTACCTGTATAAAAGACACCTGGGAGCCAGAAATCTTGCTGATTGATAGGGGATCAAATACTGTTTTCACTTATTGACATGCAAATTAATTTATAACTTTTTTGACATGCGTTTTTCTTTTTTTTGTTTTGTTATTATGTCTCTCACTGTTAAAATCCACCTACCATTAAAATTATAGACTGATCATTTCTTTGTCAGTGGGCAAACATTCAGGGGATCAAATACTTTTTTTCCTCACTGTATCTCCTTTCATAGCCCCAAGACTACCCCAACCTTACCTGACTTCCTGCATCATTTATAGTCCACCTTCTCTAATTCCTCTAAATGTTTCCATCTTCAACTCTGGGTGCCCTCTTTTCCTCTCTCTGCAACCCAACATTTTACTCTACCCTTATGTCACACAACTCTAATAATGCACCGCCACCTCAGTGCTCAAATTTCCTAATCTTCCTGACCTGAAGAAGGTGCAGAGAGGTTACACCAGCTAAAATTACCTTTTTGACATCATATGGAATTCCACATATGGCCACATGTTCCTCCAGATTTCAGAGGTTTAGGCAGAGTTACTAAGTGGAATAGTTTAGATTAAGGCTAAGCAAACGTTAGATCCCAGATATTGTAGGTATGGATCCTGGATTAGGAAGAGCTGACCCTTATTTGGTGGCTATTAATTATTTTGCACATTACTTTGCTCTTCTAAAGGATGACAAATAATAATGGCAGTTAAAGTTCTAGAACATCTGTGGAGCTACCATTTGCCCAGCCCTGGTCCAGATGAATTTCCTCCTGTCTGAGCTTATGTAAGCTATGCAGCCTCGTTAGATGAAGGAACACTACTGATTTGGGAATACAAACATGTATTCCTAATACTATAGAGTTCTACTCTCTAATTAGATTCAGAGACCTCCTTATAATTAATTAAAAACAAACTTTTTACCCAGCCCTGAGACTCACTCTGTGCAGCTGCCTGCTTCACCTCCAATTATATCTCTCTGGATGCTGTCTCTTCTTCGTATTTTTGACCAATGCTATGATGAGCATTAGAGGATGTTTGATACCCTCATGGAATGTGTGAGGACTTTGAACACCACATAATTAAATCTGGCTTGGTTGAAGGTGCACCCTCTAGTATCTATTAGAAAGACCACCACTAAAGGTTTGTTAAGCTTGCAGGCAGTGAAAGCTAAATGGCAATGTTTTACATTGCAGGACAAAACCAACAGGTTCACTGCAACCAGATGACTCACTGGCTAGGGTGTATAGGAATGGAATAACTAACGTCACACCATTCAGATGCCGGTATACTGGTAATTATAGAGGAGGTTGCCCTGCTTGGGTAAACGTCCCTAAGCTGTAACGAGAATATACCCCTACACGCAGGATCCAGCTAAACAGAGGCAAATACAGAGGAGAGATACGTCTACCGGACCTTAGAATGGCCGGACTTGACGTATATGAGAGAAGACAGAGCCAGGAACAAACCGAGGTCAAGGGCACAGAGAGACAGCGTAAACTAGGACAAGCCGGGGTCTGGTACACGGAAAACAGCAAGCCGGCAAACAGTACAGATAAGGATAAAGCGAAAACGAAGTCAGAATACGAAGCCAAAGTCAATACGAGAAAACACAACTGAACACCACAAGCGCTAAAGGGAACTGAAACAGAAACCACGATAGGGCAAGGAACAAAGGGAAGAAGGTGAGTATAAATACCTAAACATCTAATTTGATTGGTCCCTGTCACATCCACGCCCCCAAAAGGTAAGTGTATGGGGAGTGTGGCATGACAGGGACCAATGGGATGCCTTTTCCAATTTAGGCACCCACTGTCCCTTTAAGAGCGCGCCCGAGACTCGCGGCGCGCTCTTAGTTTCAGGCGGGACACGTGACCGCCTCACGCGGTCACTGCCCGCCCTCCATCCGAAGTAGTTGGATGAGCCGCAGGACCGCGCGCGGCTTGAAGAGAGGACCGCGACCGGCCCCCGGTTAAGGTAAGTAACGCTACAGTACCCCCCCCTGAGGACACGCCCCCCGGGCGGGTAGGACCAGGCCTGGCAGGAAAACGTGAATGGAAAGAGCGCACAAGACGGGGAGCATGGACAGCATCGGCCGAAATCCAACTGTGCTCCTCAGGCCCATAACCCTTCCAATGTACCAAGTATTGAAGTCGACCCCTAAGGAAACGAGAGTCAAGAACAGCAGACACTTCAAACTCCTCATGACCCTCTACCGAGATAGGAGGGGGAGGAGGAGTATGCCGGGTATAGCGGTTGCGTACGAAAGGTTTCAACAATGAGGTGTGAAAAACATTAGGAATACGTAGATTCTTAGGCAGGCCTAAGGCATAAGAAACAGGATTAACCTTATGTATAATACGATAAGGTCCAATGAAGCGGGGAGCCAATTTCATAGAAGGCACCCGGAGACGAATATTCCGCGTGGAAAGCAAAACCCTGTCCCCCACAACATAGGACGGAGCTGCTCTGCGATGCTTGTCAGCCTGAGCCTTCTGGCGAGTAGCAGAGTCCACCAAAGAACGCTGAACCTGCTCCCAAGTATTACGCAAACCAGCCAAATGCTCATCCAGAACTGGCATGCCCTGTGAGGAGAATGCAGCCGGAAGAACAACGGGATGCTGGCCATAGACAACGTAAAAAGGGGTCTTGCCGGAAGAATCATGAGTGGCGTTATTCCGAGCAAATTCAGCCCAAGGAAGCAGGTCAGACCAATTGTCCTGATGGTGAGACACAAAACAACGGAGGTATTGCTCCAGAGACTGGTTGGCACGTTCAGCAGCCCCATTAGACTGGGGATGATAAGCGGAAGAAAATGAGAGAGAAATACCCATTTCTGAACAAAAGGCCCTCCAGAACCTGGAAATAAATTGGCTACCCCTATCGGATACAATAGATACGGGAATCCCATGTAATCGAAATACTTCTCTAGCGAAGATATGAGCCAGTTCCTTAGATGTGGGCAACTTGCGAAGAGACACGAAGTGAGCCATTTTGGAGAACCGATCCACTATCATCAGGATTACTGTGTTACCATTTGAAGGGGGTAATTCAACAATAAAATCCATGGACAGGTTAGACCAAGGTCTCTCGGGAACGGGTAACGGATGCAACAGCCCACAAGGAACTCTACGGGAGGATTTCATACAGGCACAAGTAGTACAAGCACTTATATAGTCAGTGACATCCTTTCGTAAGGAATCCCACCAAAAATACCGAGAAACAGCTGACACCGTTTTGGAAATACCAGGATGTCCAGCGGTCTTAGTATCATGATATAATGACATAATATCCCGTCTCTCAGGAACATCAACGAACAGTTTATCATTAGGCCTCTCGCTAGGTGCCATGCTTTGTTTCGCTTGTATGGTCTGCAAGAGGGACGAGGAAATAGACAAAATAGTAGTAGCTATTATCCTGTCTGGGGGAATGACAGGAGTAACATCAATCTCCTGTTTGTCAGTAGTTTCGAACTGTCTGGACAGAGCGTCTGCTTTAGTGTTGCGATCACCTGGCCTATAGGTGATAATAAAATTGAAACGGGACAAAAATAGTGACCACCTAGCCTGCCTGGAAGACAATCTTTTGGCTTCGCTAAGATAGGATAGGTTCTTGTGATCCGTAAAAATGAGGATAGGATCCTTAGTTCCCTCTAACAAATGTCTCCACTCTTTAAGTGCTAAAATAATAGCAAGGAGTTCACGATTACCCACATCATAATTTTTCTCTGCTTTGGACATTTGTTTAGAAAAGAAGCCGCATGGATGCAATGGCTTCTCAGGCGACTCTCTTTGGGACAAGACAGCACCTACCCCAATATCCGAAGCATCAACTTCAAGAATATAGGGCAGTGAGGGGACAGGATGCTGTAAAATAGGTGCAGAGGCGAACGTAGTTTTAAGAAATTCAAAAGCCTGAAGTGCCTCGGTAGACCAAACACGAGTATTGCCATCCTTTTTAGTCATACGGTGATAGGTGCTACAATGGACGAGAAACCTTTGATAAAACGTCTATAATAATTGGAGAACCCAAGAAAACGCTGAATAGCTTTCAGACCTTGCGGTAGAGGCCATTCTATTACAGCAGCTAGCTTCTGGGGATCCATACGAAAACCTTTAGCGGAAATCAAATACCCCAAGAACTGGACTTCGGTTTGGTCAAACAGACATTTTTCTAGCTTGCAATAAAGACCATTAGCAAGAAGGGTCTTCAAAACTGTCGTAACATGTCTGTGATGAGTGTGTATATCTGCAGAATATATTAAAATGTCGTCCAAGTATACGATAACAAATGTGTGAATAAAATCTCTCAATACATCATTAATAAATTCTTGGAATACTGCTGGGGCATTGCAAAGCCCAAATGGCATAACAGTGTATTCGTAATGACCGGATCTAGTGTTGAATGCAGTCTTCCATTCGTGATTTTCCTTTATACGTATCAAATTGTATGCACTCCTAAGGTCTAATTTAGTGAACACAGTGGCATGTTTCAGCCTGTCAAATAATTCTGTAATCAAAGGTATAGGGTATGCATTTTTGATAGTGATTTTGTTTAGACCTCTATAATCTATACACGGTCTTAAATCACCTTCTTTCTTCGATACAAAGAAGAACCCTGCTCCAGCTGGAGAAGAGGATCTCCTAATAAACCCTTTTTCTAATGATTCCTTGATGTACTCCTCCATGACACGGTTTTCTTGAACCGATAAGGGGTACACCCTGCCCTTTGGAGGTATAGTGCCAGGCAACAAGTCAATAGCGCAATCATAGGGTCTGTGAGGCGGTAATTTCTCAGCCTCCCTTTTATCGAAAACAGTCTTTAGAGATAAATACTGAGGGGGTATAACCATAGACAAAGGAGGACTGGTAGGTACCTCAATAGAATTCAAAGGTGTGACTTCCAACGTACAAGACTCGTGGCAGGCCTTACTCCATGATTTTATTTGCCCTGTCTCCCAGTCAAAAATGGGATTGTGAGCACGTAACCATGGATACCCTAATACTAACTGTGAAGAGGGAGAGGTGATAACCTGGAATCGAATGGTTTCATAGTGTAAAACCCCTGTGTACATGTGTAATGGTTCAGTCTCATGAGTAACAACTGGAGAACTTAATGGTCTACCATCTATGGCCTCAACGGCCAAGGGTATCTCCTTCTCTCTGATGGGAATGTTGTTTCTCTTTATAAAGCCAGAGTCTATAAAATTTTCAGCTGCCCCAGAGTCAACCAGAGCATATATGTTGTCAACTATACAAATCTCTCCCATATATAAAGAAACCGGGAGAAGCAAGCGGTTAGGAGGCAATTTAGGAGACTTAGATATCACACCCAAGGCCAGTCCCCTATAAGGTCTTAGGTGCGAGAGTTTTCCGGGAGTAAAGGACATTCCTTTACCATATGGTCTCTCCTACCACAGTATAGGCAGAGTCCCTCCCTTCTCCTATGTAATTTCTCAGTATCAGAGAGTTTGGCAACCCCTAATTGCATAGGTTCCTCCTCAGACACTTTAACACTCTCTGGTATATTAACTCTGGGGTTAATGGGTGTAACAAAACGTCTATTCCTGTTCTTGGTATAGAGCCTGTCACGAATTCTATTATCAATATCAATGAGGTAATCGATAAGGTCCTCTAAGGCAATAGGAAGCTCCTTAGCTGCTACCTCATCCAATATCGTATCTGACAAACCTTCCATAAAGGCAGTAGTTAACCCATTGTTGGTCCAATCTACCTGCGAAGCAAGAGTGCGAAACTGAATAGCATAATCAGCCACAGACCTAGAACCCTGTTTAATTCTCATTAATGCTCTCGCGGCATTCTTTGACCTTTTCATTGTGTCAAAAGTTCTACGAAAAGCCGTAAGAAAACTGTTGAAATCATGTACCATAGGCCCATTAGCTTCCCAAATAGGATTTGCCCACTCAAGTGCCTTATCGGTAAGTTGGTGCATAAAGAACCCAACCTTAGACCTCTCTGTGGGAAATGAACGTGGATACATTTCGAAGTGAAATTCAATCTGATTAATAAACCCTCTGCAAGTCTTAGAGTCCCCTCCATACCTAGGAGGAGGTGTTAAATGGGCCGAAGTATTAGGCAAAGTAGATACTTCAGGGAGAAGGGGCGTAGGAGGGTTAGGTGTAGTTGCTGGAACGGTTCTAGCTAGGAGCGTCTGGAGAGCCTGAGCTATTTGATCCATACGGTGATCCTGCTCTACAAATCTTGCCTCATGGGACGCCATCTGTTGAGCTAAATCTGCGGGGTCCATGGCCCTATCGTAATGTAACGAGAATATACCCCTACACGCAGGATCCAGCTAAACAGAGGCAAATACAGAGGAGAGATACGTCTACCGGACCTTAGAATGGCCGGACTTGACGTATATGAGAGAAGACAGAGCCAGGAACAAACCGAGGTCAAGGGCACAGAGAGACAGCGTAAACTAGGACAAGCCGGGGTCTGGTACACGGAAAACAGCAAGCCGGCAAACAGTACAGATAAGGATAAAGCGAAAACGAAGTCAGAATACGAAGCCAAAGTCAATACGAGAAAACACAACTGAACACCACAAGCGCTAAAGGGAACTGAAACAGAAACCACGATAGGGCAAGGAACAAAGGGAAGAAGGTGAGTATAAATACCTAAACATCTAATTTGATTGGTCCCTGTCACATCCACGCCCCCAAAAGGTAAGTGTATGGGGAGTGTGGTATGACAGGGACCAATGGGATGCCTTTTCCAATTTAGGCACCCACTGTCCCTTTAAGAGCGCGCCCGAGACTCGCGGCGCGCTCTTAGTTTCAGGCGGGACACGTGACCGCCTCACGCGGTCACTGCCCGCCCTCCATCCGAAGTAGTTGGATGAGCCGCGCGCGGCTCGTGTAGCCGCAGGACCGCGCGCGGCTTGAAGAGAGGACCGCGACCGGCCCCCGGTTAAGGTAAGTAACGCTACATAAGCATGGTAAACCAGAAACAGCTGCAGGAGGAGCAAAGACAGGACATTTAAAAAAAAAATGTGGTGTGAGAGAAGAGGCTACGGTAATTCTGTGACAGGTTCCATTTATAATTGCCTGTTTGGACAATGTTTTTATGGGCAAATATACAATTTCACTATTTTTCTAGCTGACAAATTTAAATATGTCCCCTGGCCATAAACCAGGTAACCAGTGCATAGGTTCAAAGAGAGCAACAGGGATAAAGAGAAAACATGTTATGGGCAGGAAACAGGTAGGATCCTGGATTAGGAAGAGCTGACCCTTATTTGGTGGCTATTAATTTTATCACATGACAGGAGGCTTCCTATTTTGCATTTCTCTCTTTACTAAACTCCACAGCAGTAAAGAAAGTGAAACATTTAACCAATGAAAAAATGCAATAGGGAGTAGGAAGTACCCAACAATTAGGCTCCTCCCCCTCTTTCTTTACTGCTCCATCGCAGACAGGTCAGAGTTTTTTGGCTCCAAATGTATATGTATATATATATATTGAATTTATTGATTTTTTATTGGATGTTACTATAATTTGAAGTTTATTTTATAGCTTGCAGCTTTCTCTACATGCTTTACCTCATACACTTATAATTTACACTTTATTATATTTTCCTCAGGGATTATTATTTACTTCTGACACACTTTGTAGTTTCTTTGTGTAGTAGTTGGGGCCCCCACCGCCCCCCCCTCCCCCCCCTTGGTAACCGCGCTGCTCGTTTTTTCCCCTGGTTGTACCTCTTTATGAGGTGATCTCTTGCTGCCCGATTTCCCGCCTAACTTTCCTTTTTCCCCCGCCCGCGGAGAGACCCGGCCGCATAGCCTATGTCCCGCCCGCGGTAGAAATCAGCCGCACGACGGATTTCTCCGTCGGACACCTTGCCTCTTTCCTGGCCCCCTTTCACCCGCCTCGCCGGCTCTGTTGCCGCGCATCTACAGAGCGCGGCTCCCATTCCCGCCGGCATTCTCGCGGCGGCCATTTGCAATCTCGCGTCTCGCGAGATTGCGGCCGCCATTTTGAGTACCCGCTCAGTTCCGCGAGCAAACGACCGGAGACAGCTCGGTTTATTCCTGGAGGTCAGTCCGTCCTCATAAAAATACAAACTGCTGTATCCAGACACTTAAGGGATCATAACCCTGTGTCTGTTAAGGGTGCTGCCCTATTTTTTTGTGCTGCTTGTAGAGGTCGCCTTGTGGCCTCCTCTGTGATCCTGGGTGAGGCCCAGAAATACTAAAGCCCAATAGTGTGGTGTCACCAATATTATTAATTTTATTAATATTATTATTATTATTATTATTATTATTCTATTATCATATTTTATCACCTTATTATTTTGTATTACTGCTTTAGTGCAGTTACCCTTTGCCTGCCTAGGCAGCTTAGATCCTGCTGGGATCTTTATTACACCCTATAACCAGACTCTGCTGGAGTCCATTGTACCATCACCACCACACACCCTGCTGGGGTTTGTTTTGCTCTATACTTGGAGTACAGATATATATTACACACTACGGTACCCTGTCAGGGCCAGCATAGTGTTATTCATATAAAATATACAGCTGAACTGACCTCTAATTCTCTATTTTATAATATTTCCCTGTGCCAGAAATTTATTAACCTCAATATGGAAGCTGCTCAAAATTCAGCAGACCTCCAAACAATGATTAATGAGGCAGTAGCAGCCTCCATGGAGAAAGCCCTCTCCATAATGATGGCCTCTAATGCCGATAAGAGGAAACCATCAAAAACCCACCGGTCCCGACACGATTCGGATTCCGAAGATTCGGAACCGCATACGAGCCACGAACCCCCCACCGGCAAACGCCATTGGAAAGGGGAAAAGAGCCAACAGAACCCGACCAAGGGTAAAACCCCCGCAAAAAGGCTTAAGCCCTCACAGGACACTACCCCGCCCCCGCCACCTGATTACTCCTCGGATGAGGAGGATGCACACAAAAAGTCCTTGGCGATTCTAGATGAATGGCAGGCGGAGGGGTCAGACTCCTACGAGGACCCATGGGGCTCCGAGTCCGAGTCCCAACCTGGACTCGTCACGCATACGCTACTGGGAGACTCCCAACTACAGGACACCATAGATAATCCGCAGGAAGACGAGGACGCCATCTTTGACCCATCAGGTCAGAAGTTATTTGATCCGAGGAACCTAAGACACCCTCGTTCAGGGGACTGGACACCCCCAGATCATCTTGCAAAATTCATGCATCTTTGGCTGAGAAAGTCCATGGACAAGACAGTCCGCAACCGACTACGGTCCGAATGTCCAAGACCTTCTCTACCCGATCACGTGGCAGAGACACCAGAATTTGACCAGGTGATGACCACCTTCATGTCCCGAGGTGGCCGGGACCCACGCAAAGGCGTGGAGAAGGGTTTCAGAGCAGTCCAAGACAAACTGCTAGACTCAATAGGACCACTTTCCAGGATCATGTACCTGGCAGACGATGCCCTCACAAAGGCAGACCAATTTGACGCGACCATGGTTCGCGAATGGGCTCATGATGTTCGGGAGTGGGCACAAAGATGTTTTTGCTTTGTGGGTAACACGAATACAGCCCTCTCCTCCGAGCGGCGCAAGGCAGCACTACTCCATATCGACGGAAAGTTGGTGGAATTGGGCACCAAGGAATTAGGCCCTCTGGCACAGGGCAAACTATTTGGCGATCCTTTCCTCAAGGACTTGAACAAGCATGTAAATATCTTTACTTCCCTGAACAAAGCTCAGTCCTCCATGAGGAGAGTTTTTAGACATAACCCCACCAGGGGTGTTTTTGGACGGGCTGGCCGCCAAAGGGGCCGTGCTGCCAGCCGATTCTGGCCTTCAGGCCCCCGTACCTCAAGACCTCACTCTTTCTACCCAGAAGTGGGATACAGACAACACTCCTCATATACCCGAGGAGCGGATAGAGGCCGTGGACCACGTACCCGAGGCAGAGCACGTTTCTCCACAGGTAAGCAATCACCTAACGCATTACCTTACTCTCCGCCCAGCAGGTCGCATATCTTTGTTCTTTCAGGAATGGCAGACCATCTCCACAGATGCATGGATCTTACAAACTGTTCAAGGGTACATCATCGACTTCACGTCACACCCACAGCAAACAGTCATACCGCACCCGATCAAATGCTCGACAGAAGATGCCGAACTCCTACACAACGAGTTGATGGAACTTCGATCGAAAGGCGCAATAGAACCAGCCTCCGGACCTCATGGTTTTTTCAGCAACATATTCCTGGTAAAGAAAAAATCAGGGGATTTTCGACCCGTCATAAATTTAAAAAGACTCAACGAATACGTCACGTACAGACACTTCAAGATGGAAGGCATACACCTCCTGAGAGACCTACTACAGGACAAAGATTGGTTCACGAGATTGGACCTAAAGGATGCATACTTCTCAGTACCCGTCCACCTGTCCTGCCGAAAATTCCTACGATTCCACTGGCAGAATCACCCCTGGCAATTCACATGCCTTCCCTTTGGCCTCAGCTCGGCTCCATGGTGCTTCACCAAACTGCTGAAGCCAGTAGTTGCTCATCTTCGCGCACAAGGAATTCGTTGCATTATATACCTGGACGACCTCCTTCTGTTCTGTTCCGACAAGTCCAGACTGACGCAACACACAAACTATACCACGGACCTGCTATCATCCCTGGGCTTCATGGTGAACTTTCAAAAGTCAGCCATGTCACCATCCCAAACGGTGCAATTTCTAGGTTTCGAGATAGACTCCACCACGAGCACCCTACGGCTACCTGCATCAAAGATCTCGAATATTCGCAAAGAATTGCGCAAGACCATTCGCGCCCACACCATTCCACTCCGCTCCCTTGCTCGAATAGTGGGACTCCTCTCAGCTTCCATACAGGCGATCTTTCCGGGCCCACTTCACTACAGGGCAATGCAACGCCTCAAAGCATCCTTCCTCAGACACAACCCATCCTACGACCAACCAATCCCGGTCACGGAGGAGGTCAGGGACGAACTCAGATGGTGGCTGGACAGCATGGAAGCATGGAACGGTCGGGCCATCTTCGGGAGCACGCCCGACTTAGTTCTGGAATCGGACGCCAGCCTCTGGGGATGGGGCGCCACAGGCGCAGGCACGTCAACAGGCGGGACCTGGACCTCCCAGGACCTCAACTTACACATAAACTGCCTAGAACTCCTGGCAGGTTCATTTGCCATCCGCAGCTTGGCAAAAGAAAAGATGGACTGCTGCATCCTCCTAAGGATGGACAACATCTCAGCAGTCCGCTACATCAACCGCCTGGGAGGTGCCCGATCCCGGATCCTCTCGGAAATAACGAAGGAGATCTTCGATTTCTGCCTACCCCGCAATATCTCCCTCAAAGCAGAATACCTTCCCGGGGAAACGAACCTCACAGCGGACTGGTTTTCACGCCACTGGAGGGATGCCAGCGACTGGAAACTGGATCCACACATCTTCCAGGGTCTAGCGGCACACCGGGGTCCATTTCACCTAGATCTGTTTGCGTCTCGCAACAACAGACAAACGCAAGCATATTTCAGTTGGCTCCCAGACCCGGAGAGCAAAGCAACGGATGCCTTCCTACAACCATGGCCGATCACGGGAGCATATGCCTTTCCCCCCTTCGCCATGATAGCACGGACCATTCACTACCTGAGACAGCAGGGGGTATCCCTGCTACTCGTCACACCTCTATGGACAGGACAACCTTGGTTTCCGGACCTCCTAGCCCTATCTTACAAGGACCCTCTCCTACTACCCTCTCACGAACATACTCTCACAGATCCGAAAGGGAGCCCTCATCCGCGCGTCCTGGCCAACCGACTCACCCTAGTGGCTTGGACTCTTTCCGGGGTGCCTGGCAAGTCGGCGAACTATCACAGGCTGCTAAGGACCTCCTATGGGACTCATGGGCTCCAGGAACCAGAAGATCCTACCTACATGCGTGGAATTGCTGGTCCAATTGGTGCTTGGAACGGAACGACGATCCATTTACGGCCTCTATTCCTACCATCATAAACTTTCTAACACACCTATTCTCCTCAGGACGATCATACAGGTCCATTAACGTAGTCCGCTCAGCCATCTCAGCGGCCCATGTTCCCACACTGGGAATCCCAGTGGGAAAAGACCCACTGATATGCAGACTTCTAAGAGGCATTCGATTACAACGACCTCCGGAACCAAAATATTCACGACTCTGGGATGTCGAGGTAGTCCTCCGCTTCCTGAGAGAATGGCCGACCAACGACAATCTCTCCCTCCGGCAACTCTCTGCGAAACTGACAATTCTGCTCTGTCTAGTCTCATTCCGCAGGGTATCGGACGTCCGAGCGTTTGACATAGACGCGTTCTCGGTCTCCCCGGAGGGAGTCACATTCCAGATATCGCGTCGCACGAAGTCTGACTCTGCGACGGTTTTTTACCCTTTCTTCAATTCCGATCCACAACTCTGCGTCGTGGCCACACTACGGCGATATGTGGAGGTTACGCTTCCGATACGGACTCCAGCCTCAGGGCAACTCCTCGTGTCATACGTTCGACCGCACGTCCCCATCACTACTACCACCCTAGCCAGATGGGTTCGGTGGATCCTTTCTTTAGCAGGCATAGACGCTTCTTTCGGCGCTCATTCGGTACGTGGGGCGGCGGCTTCCTCAGCTTTCACAGCGGGTGCCTCACTAGCAGATATATTACGTTCCGCTGACTGGTCTAGAGAATCCACGTTTCGCACATTCTATTTCCGCCCGAACTCCAACGCGGCATTATCACTATTACAGCGTTAAAAAATGCAAAATAGGAAGCCTCCTGTCATGTGATAAAATTGAAGATTATGCTAGCGTCAGTGTACTTATAATCTTAATTTTAATAATGACAGGAGGCGAGTATTTTCCCACCCTTCCCACCCTAGGGAAGATGGGAACATTCGAATTCTGATATAACCTATCTCATCTCTCATTTCTATCACTACATCTGTCATAGCGGGATTTGTTCATATGCTAAC